TAGGAAGCAGGGTGCAGCCCTCACTCCAGCACTGCCAGCAGAATTTGAGGATTTCGCCCCCGTGCTTTAGCTGTGACTGCGCTCCTTCCTTCACACCTTGTAACCCAGGCTAGTGGCAAGCAGAACTGTTTACCTCGTGAGGACTTCTTGGTGGAGATGTGAGGAGTTAGTGGGTTTCAGCCCAGTATCCCCACTGTCAAAGTTGCCATCACAAATGTTCTTCCCTTTCTAGCACAGTGGGGATTCTTAGCTGGTGTTTAAGCATTGCGGTAGTAAACGTGATTAATACTAATTGGCACTAGTTGGCAGACTCCGTGGAGGAGCTTGGAGAGGGCCCACGGGGACAAAAGCTGTCTTCCAGCCCACGTGCTCAGAGGCCGCTGTGGGTTGTAGGGAGAGAAGGGGCTACACGCTCCCCAGCTCGCCAGCCAGCAGCAAACCTTGCAGGAGCGGCGCCAGGCTTTGCTCTGAGGCTGCTGCCCCTTTTCCAAAACGTCCTGCAGTTTTTCTCCCCGGAGTCATGAAGAGCGGGGAGAGCAGGGAGCGCGGCAGGAGCAGGTAGTCCCGCAGCCATGCAGTGAAAGGACATGGCCATCCAGGGTGGTGGCCAGGCCACCGTGGTCCCTGATCGGCAGTTGCTTCGCCCCGACACTAGTGTTGCACGGCGTGCACTGCCGCTGCGAGGAGGGCTCGTCTTTGGGGCCGAGACAACTCGTGGAGAGCAAGAGGGAACATGGCTTCACCACGCTGGGAAGCTGACTCCCCCCAACAATTGATCTCGTTTCTGTCACCAGCATCTTTTTAGGAAGCTGTGCCTGGGTTTGCGGTGAAGTTTGCCCCGAGTTTCTGGCTTTCATGTGCATCCTGGCTGTGTCCTGCCTCGATGGCAGGAGGAAATCAGTTGCACGAGATTTCCCCTGCAGCAGGCAGGCAGGCAGGAGGAGGCTGCTCCAGTAGCTCTGGCTGGGGACAGCTGGGGAGATGACGGGCCATGCTGCAGAAGAGACCTTCCCTGGGGCAGGATGTGGCCAGGCTGGGGACCCCGGGCCCCCCAAGCACGGGGTGCACAGCAAGGTGGCTCTGCCGACAAATGCCGACTCAGTCTTCAGGATTGTGAATTGTGGATCTGAGGCTTGTTTTGCAGGTCACCAAAGGGAACAAAGAGGGGCTGGTTTTTATTCCGAGAGAAATGTATTGTGTGAAAATGATAATGTGACTTGTTTTGTCATTGTCTTTAATGTTTGCCTGGTATGAACATCTCACCTCTTCTCATTGCCTATAAATGTCTGAAGTTGATTGTTTTTTAGATACTGATGCCTTGTCTTAAAAATCTGAATTGTACCTTTGGATTATCTGCCTTAAAGTGGCTCTGTGCCTTCAAGACGACTCCTGGGCCACCTCTCTGTTAGAGCTGGGGGATATACTGATTCTCCTCCACATTTTATAAATACATTGTCTTCCTATAAGAGCTCAGTTCTGTCCATGTGTTACTCACACCCGCATCGCCATGCAGCAGGGATCAGAAACCAGGTGTTGCTCCTCCGGCTTCGTATAACCAAAGGCATAGGCAATACCAGAGAGACGCGTCGCTCTCTGCCCAAGCCAACGAGAGCTCTGCAGCAAGAGGCGGGTGGGAGATGCAGCAAGCAAGGTTAGCCAGGAGCGAGACCTGTTTCAGTCCCCTCTAGGGCTGTAGAAAGTGAGATGGCAACAAAACGGTTTTTCTCCTGTCTTCCTGGGTTTACCATGTGAAATAAGGTAGAAACATTGGACAAATACACGTCCCAGCAAAGCACAAGTGCGACGTGATCGTAGAGAATGTGGAGAATGAAGTGGTCCCTCTCGCAAGCAGGGGACAATTCCTGGAGAAGACCGCAGGTGAGAGCCTAGACCTGAGTTCGGTACTTGGCACAGTCTACGCAAATGGGAGGTCAGCTCTTTCACTGCTTATTTAGATTCAAATTTGGCCCCTTTTCGCTTCAACTGTGCCTCCTTCGAGTATAAAAAGCTTGGCAGGAATGGGAGTCAGACACGGAGAGGGAAAAAGGCAGCCAAGATTGCTAATGAGTCTGATTCCATTATAATGAGAAACAATTATTAAAGGCGACGGGGGAAAAGCATTCCAGTGCGCTGCCGGCCTTCAGCTCGCCTGGGCTGGGTGACGGGAAGCCCTCTCTGCTCGGGCAGGCCTCGCGCGCTGCCGCACCTGACCTGGCAGCTCTCTGAGATGATGATGTTGAAGTTAAGATCTGGTAATGAAATTCCCCTCACTGCTTCTTTCCCAGCTGAACCTTTTCTTTTTTTTTTCTCTCTTTACATTCAGTCATCAATGCTAATTGCTTTACCTCCTGCTCTGTGAAGCAATGAGTCACAGGATTGGGGATGTGCACACAGGATGCATAATTTTCTACCTTTTCATGAACCCAGCCGGCCAGTAGTGGCTGAAAGCCCTTAGCTGGTGGTTTTGCATTGCCTCTACAGTGAAACCTTTTTCTAGAGGAGAGCAGGATAACAGAGGCTTCCCAGAAACATCCAGCCCGTTTGCTGTCTGTCTCAGCAGAGACCAAGGACCGAGATAAGCAGCAAACTCAGTGTCACTCCAGACCTGCCATCCCCCGGACAAAGTGGAGGATGAGCCTTTACCTGCTTCACCAAACAGATCCCAGACTGTACTCAGCTTTGCTGATGTAAATTCTGGTAGATACATAAGTGGCATTTTCCACCCTACTCTTTCTATGCAACTGTCCTTCATCTGCAAAAAAGCCACTGTCATTTGCAGGTACTAGCTGATGCTGGCCCGTAACCTTACCCACCAGCCTTTGTGGGCAAGACCATTCGCACCCTCTCCAGAAAAAAAGCACCACCTGTGGCTTAAACAGAAATTCAGTTCTGTAAAGTCAAATACAGAGTACAAATGAAATCTGCCCGTATCCCAGTAGCTCCTGAAGACCAATATGTGGACATTTTCGTGACGTTTCTTTCTCAGTGGTGGCAAGAGTATGCAAAATGAAAAATCCATATTGAACTCTGATTCTGCTGTACAATGAAAAAATCATTTAATAATCAGAAAAGCATGCAATTATTTAAATAGGCTTACACCAGGCTATTAAAATATCAATTTTTAGCATGACTACAGCGTTACAAAATTTAGGGTTGAAAATTTTTACTCTTTCAAAAAAAATCTGAAAAATCATTAATTCAAAGACTTTTTTTCAAGGAAACAAATTTTCTAGTACAAGAGAATTCCCAGCGCTGTAAATATAAAAATGATATATTTAAAAACTTTTATGTTAGTGATAAGACCTTAAATTATAATGGTGATTTTTTTAATAAAGTAATACGCTGTGTACCTGTCATTTCTCATTGTGGCAATAAGCCTAGAGTGTCTCCTTATGTATAATGTTTCTTCATTTTCTACTAATACTGTCAGGCAATTCTGACATCATTCCTCATAGGTCCCTGGCGATGACATCAGACCATACTATTTATTTTCTGTCATTGTTAATTTTCCAATGCTGGAAGTATCTGATTGTTTTCATAACTGTGTCACATTTAATTTTGTTTTTAAACAACTAGGAAAACATTTGAACTGGTTTTAGCTATGTTGACATACACACACTTTTCTATCCTCCCATGAGAACTTTTTTTTTTTTAGTTTGAGAAATCCATTCCAACATTTGGGAGGTAAACTATTAGATAGCATTGCTTTAAGTATAGCAACTTATGCTTGAGACAAAAAAGCTGGACTTTTCTTGCTTGTGTAGCCTACAAAGTAAATCGTTCAATCTTCTCTACACAACGAGCCAATATTGAGTATGTGAAGCAGGCAACTAAAATAAGAAGTGAGATTTACAGAACTGCGCTTTGAAATTGTGTACCTGCTGCTGTTCCTGCAGCTTTCTCTAGCAAAGTTTGCGCTAGCTTTGAAAGGCAATGTTTTCACCCCTTCAGAACTGCAAAAGCATTACGGGAAGGGGCCAGTATACCATGAAACGCACACAGTTTTGAAAGTTTAACCCACTTCTCTGGATTCGTCGACGGGCTCCTGCTGAGGTCAGTGAAAACGCAAAGGAGGAGAGCTTTCCCCGCCAGCCGCGCTGCTCAGATCCTGCAGGGAAGAGAAGGAACACCAGTAAGGTCGCAGCAGGCTCCCCCGCGCTGCACGGGCAGAGAGGAGCAGTCACGGCGTACCGGGTCACTCGGCGCCACAGCCACCCCTGCGGGTGTGGGGTGCTGCTCTTCAGCGCTCGCACCCTTCTGGATCCCAAGCCAGCAGTGTTTTTATAGAGGCTTTTGGCCTTTGCGTCCTCCCTCATCATATCATGCGTCTATCGACCTTTCTTGCTGGCTGTTGCCCCCGTATATTGCATTTAAACTATGTTTACATTTTGCAGGTCATGTAAGCAAGAGATGTGAACTTTGCTTCTTGACCTAAAGCACTTTTGACCTAAGAACATGTCATTGCCTCTTCGACCTGACATGGAAACCCAAGCACTTGGTTGGACTCTTATTCACAAGACTCTCTCTTGAAAATGAGAGTTAGATTCTTAAAACAGCCCCTGCCAAACCACACTGGCTGTTGTGAAGAGCTCTTTCGCCCCCACCTCACCAGCACCTTCCTTTTCTTCTGCTCAGGTAACTCTGCCATCTTTAGATACCTCCAAGAATGCACCTCGTTTTCTTCCCAAATTTAGCTCCCATCCACAACTGCTATCCGTATCTAGCGTGAGGTCTGCAGCCTTCTGAAAGCTGGAGTTGGGATGTTTGGTGTTCTTGCTTTAAAGACCAAGCAAGGAGAAACCCTCCTCCTCTGAGGGAATTTGTTCAATGGCCCCAGATGCTCGTGGGACAACAGCATGCCCCTGGAAAGACTTCGTTAATTCGTGCAGCTTTACACCTTCTCCACCTTGCAATGATGTTTTCTGAGACTGAGAGCCCTTCCAGTGGCTGGTAGTGACGGGAACTCCCCCCTTTCTTACCTGACTCCATTGCCCCATGACTTAATAAGGTCGAAAATTCCTGGTAGGGTAGAGGCCAGTTTTCTGCACCCCAAAGGCTGTGATGAAGATGTTGAGGATGACCGTGATGAAGATAAGAGCTGTGGCAGCATTGTTGAGTATATTCAGGCGGGGTTGCTTTGCAACATCATTCAGGTTCAAACGAGCTGTGCGATACAACGCAAAAAGAAAGGGAGATCTGTAGTTTGACTCCAAGTCCCCCAGCCCCTGCAAGCCTTCCCTATCTCACGAATGTCCATGGTGCCCCTGGGGACTGCAGCCACAGAGCTGGGGGAACAGTCCCAGGGACTTTACAGGGGCCACAGCTTGCCCTAGGATGACATAGGAGGATGGAGCAGAGGGAAAACATGGTTTTTTTATGTCATGTCTTTGTTTTGCCATGGAGGTGCCATGGCCCTCCAACCAACCAACCCTAAATAGCCAAATTACTGCTGCATGCTAGCCAGGCGTGTGCCATGTGACCCCCCCCACTGCATGGCTATGGGACACGGCAGGGGAAGGCTGGGTGACATGGGGGACAAGGTCAGCAATGTTGTACTTGGGTTGGGAGGCCAGTTCCTCCTTGACACCCAGAACTCACATATGTGCTGACACAGCTATCAACCCCCTCCTCGCCCCCAGACCAAGAGGTATCTGGGTACATGAATAGGATCAGCCCTATCTGATGGGCGTTGAGCAGTTCAGACACGGGAACGCCCCGGTTACTGGGGCTGCCTGGCCAATAAGCCATGTGAACGGCAGCCTTGTGACTCCCTGCCCTCAGTTGTGGTCCCCTGTCCCCCTTCTCCTCACAGCTGGCTCCAGCCACCGCGGCTGCCACCAGGAAAGGCTGTGCCACGTGGGGCAGGGGAAGGAACACGTCACAGGATTTCCTGTAGCCTCCGATCCCGGGTCCCACATAAAAAACCACTTAGCATATATAGGAAAAGGCAGCGTTCTGCAGACTTTTAATACTGGGCACGCGTTGGAGGTTGAAATATAGCAACTCCTGTATCAGATGGAGCACGGGGCAAGCCTGTCTGAAATGCTGGTGTCAACGTATGTCTGTATGGCACTAGGAGAACTGTGGGATTGGTTAAATGTGAAGTTAATATAGGGAATACTTCTGCCTAAATCGTTCTGTTAGGCCCCAGCTTGAGTGAGGTGAAAGATACAGCTAAAATGTGGTATCTGCAGGAGCTGCATGAGGGGGCACGTTACAGGGTGGGCAGCAAGAGGCCTGAAACCCAGCTCCTCCCTACAGCAGGGATTCAGCAGTGGGGAAGTGAAGGAAGAGTAGTGCTCAGAGCTGTTGTGCAAGAGAAAAAAACCAACCCACTCCCCACTTTGAAAAGCAGTAACACAGACCTCCTCACCACCCGCGTCAAGCTGTCTTCAAACCTCCTGCAGCCCTGGTTGGAG